TGTGGTGTCCCTGCTCATGGCATGGGGGTTGGAACTAGATGATCTTAAGGTCCTTTCCAACTCCAACTATTCTATGGTTCTTACTGGCTTTGAAGATGGGGCAACATCAAGGTCTATTACACAGTTTGAAAGTGTGGGGTTTTTTTGCCTTTTGAGTGTTAGTTTGGCCATTTTAGGTATGGTGGCATTCTGAGTGTTCGAGAGTAAAATACTTGAACCATTCAGATGTTTCTTGGCAGTGTAAATCTTTGTTCATTCAAGAAATAGTTTTCCAGATTTTAGTAGATTACTGTAATTACTCACATGAATATCAGTTACAAAACTGAATTTAAGATTTTTTTTTTTTTTTTTAATTCTTTTTTTCTTTGTTGGAACTAGCCTATTTCTGGAGATAGCTTAAAATGCGGGGTTTGGTGGGTTTGGCTCTGCAATAGGAGAGCAGAGGAAAAGAATTGAAGGCAGTTGGACTGAAAGTTTTGTCTTGCACAGAAAAGGTGCAGTCTGCAGCCCAGGTTGAGATATTCCTGTGCAATTTAAATATCAGTAGCTACCAAAATTGCTTTATTTTCATGAAAAGATTGAAATACGTTTGTTTGAAAGTCAGCTAGCTTTTATTTTCCTATTCCTGCCCTTACGCTGCCATCGTGGGCTACTTTGGCAGGGCGTTTCTTTGCAGATGCAGCCAGTAAAATACGCAGTTTTGTTGCTATTTCTGCAAGTGCTTTATATATGGCAGGTGGCTGGTCCCAATTGCTGATGAACTCGGCTAATTTTAACATGGCTTTACTAGGACAGCACTGCTGGCAGCTCATGCAGTATAGCTAGTATGTGATGCTGGTAGTGACTTTTTCAGCTTTCTCTTGACAAGGACTGCTTTTGGTATAGAGCAAAAGTATGTGGGTTTTTTTTGTTTTGTTTTGTTTTTGATGCCTTCATTAGTAAACTTTCTTATCATGCAGTTTGAGTGCATGCTGGCTTCCAGGTGAGTACCTTGTGGAATGGTTTACTGATTTCCATTGAGAGATGTCCAGGGAGAGCAACCTCTGGGCAACGTCTGTAGGCTGCAAGACTTGCTGGTTTTTTGGTGGTGTTTTTTGTGGGGTTTTGTTTTCTTTTTTTTTTTTTTTTTTTTTTCCTCTCCACCAGCAGTGTTTAACATTCCTCCTGCACCTAACTAGGAGTTCTTTGCTCTGGAAATGAATCTTCTTGATTGTATCTATTCTTGGAGTTTTACAACCTGCTTATCTTCCCTAGCCGAGACAGTTGTTAACTTCATTGTTGTGTTGTGGTCAATAGCTTCTTCTTGAACATAGACTTTGTGTCTCATCTCTCCATTGTTTGGATGATTGCAGTTCCTGTGAGGTATAGGACTTCCGTTTATTCTTGAATAGCTACTGGTGACAGTGCACACTTCTACATCACACTAATGTTGGCATGTTTGCCACTAAAAGCAGTTTGTCCTTTTTCAGTTCAGCTACAGGTTTGTAGCAGATCACAGAATCTGGTACTTTTGATTCTTTCAGAGGCATTATATTACAATGAACTTGGTGTGACAGAGCTGATTTTCTTTTATGGGTTCATGTAAATGTTGCCACCCCTACTTTAGCCTTTTCCGCATGAGGAGGAGTGCCTGACTGAACTGAAGCATGCAAGCACATGACCTTTTATTCCTAAGTGTCTATTTTTTGTTTTCTTCCTGCTACGTTGATCCTCCATATATCTTGCTGTAATGTGACCTTCTCTTTTACTGGCAATGGAACCAGTACCAGTAACTGTTCCTCATCCGGTTTTGTAGAACAATGATGTTTTTGAGCATGCTGACTATCAGTCACCAATAAAGCTTAACTAATTGTGTTTGGCTAGCAGCAGTATACTTTACTGTTTGTTTATTACCTAGCCTTATCAATGACAGAATTGCTTCCAGGCTGCAGAAAGCAAGAGCTTTCTTGCAGGAAGAGGCAGCAGAGAATGGTGTTTGAATTCAGCTCTTTCCTGTCTTCTCATGTGTGTCAAAAATAATGTATATTTTGCATCTTAAATTAACCTTTTTCTTAGGATTGTTTCCTAATCTCTTGGTTTCTTCCATTTCCTGAACAGACAAATATTCAAGGCCAGCAGTGATTGGACATGCTGGAAGTTTTGGATCATACCCAAACAGTGCTGAAGCTATCAAGGACATTCTAGTGTCTGTTTTAAATGCATCTGGTTTGAAGCCCTCTTTGGTGCTGGAGCAGACCACAATGCAAGGAGCCAAGCATCCAGACAGTGATGTGGAACAGTGGGAAGAAAGCAGCGCTGGGGATAGCCATGATGACAGTGACAGCGATTCTGCACATCACAGTGCTGCCTGTACACAAACAGACATTCGGTTTACAAGGCACCAGGCATGCTGGGACAACACGTGCTGTGATTCCTCTAAACCTTCGCTGGCTACTTTCTTTAGTTTCCATTCCTCTGATGATGATCGTGCTGCTTCCTCCTTGAATGGTTTCAGTCTTTCAGACATGTCCCCTCTGAGGCAGGACTGCTTTACCCAGGTGACATTAACAGGAGGCACTGTCACATCGGCTGTTTTGCATTCTAGCAAAGAACGTTATACCTCCCCCAAACAAGAGTTGACTTTCACAAGGTTTCTTCCCAGTTCAACTGCTGGTAAGCCAGCAGATCTGTTGAAATACCCTGATGCTTTGGAGCCTGCGCCTGTCAGGGACAGTGGCAGCAATTCTCCCAGTAGACTTCCCCAGTCAGAGCCAGTCAATCAAACAGGTAACTTTTAAAAGTCCGTTTTTGTTTCAAGGTTTCTGTGCTAGGAAAGACAACTGTAGCAGAAACGGGCCTTGTTTATGGTGACTGCAAATTGGACAAATGCTGTCATTCAAGAGGGGTAAGAGGGGAGAAAGAGCTTAAAAAACAGGAGAACCAGAGAGCTGGGCTGTGGTTCCTGAAACAGGAAACACTCATGCTTGCAGTAGTCTGTCTCGTGATGCAGAAATGTTCTGTAGTGTGGAATCTTTGTTGAAATGTAAAAATTGCTGAGTTGTGAGCAATGTAGAACATCCACTGGATGAGGCTTGCACGAACTTTATTTTGTCTTCACTATTACCCTTCTCCCAAAAGCACACAGTGTGGATCTGGGTATTCAGTAGTGATTCATTGGTGTGAGTGTTCTCCACGGGATATCTTGTGTTTGACCTGAGGTGGAGGAGGGGGGAGTCCTTTGATTATGGGAATTTGGAGGCAGGGCATTAACGTCCATTCTCGTAAGTATTAACTTCGCTTATGCCAGGGCGGGACTATATTTCCTCTTCCCCTTTCCAAGTGCATCCACAGTCTAGGAGACACATAGCTCCATCCAATACAGGTCAGGATCTTTTATGCCTCACTGGTTTCCGACCATACGGATATCCCATGTGTTCTCTCTGAGGAGATGCAGACCGAGGTCTGCTAGCAAAGGGCGGCTACTGTTGGTGCAGTGGCAGGCAGGTCAGGGCGGCACAGGCCCGTAGGCAAGGCCATGTTCAGTGGGAATGTTCAGCATGGTTGCCCCCAAGACTGCCTGGAGCAGCTGGCTGGACCCTGGCACTGTGTGTGTCTCCGTGAGGTGTGCTGGCCTTCCTGGGCTGCAGGGCAGAGCCCCTGCTCCTTGTCTAGGGCAGGGGAACAGTCCCCTCATATTTAATACCTAATGTTGATACAGCCTTTGCTACAGTGAGATGAAGCATTTTTATGTTATTTATTGACGGTGTTATCTGTATCTAAGTGCTTATTCATAGAATCACAGAATGGTTTGGGTTGGAAGGGATCTTAAAGATCATCCAGTTCCAACCCCTGTGCTATGGACAGGATGCCTTCCACTAGCCCAGGTTGCTCAAAGGCCTGTCCAACCTGGCCTTGAACACTTCCAGGGATGGGGCATTCACAGCTAATCTGGACAACCTGTTCCAGTGTCTCACCACCCTCATAGTGAAGACTTCTTTTCCTAATATCCTCTCTAAATTTACCCTTTTTTGGCTTAAAGCCATTTCCTCTTGTCCTGTCAGTACATGCCCTTGTAAAAAGATGCTTTCCTGATTTCCTGTTGGCCCGCTTTAGATATTGGAAGGCTGATACTCTTACTAGATACTGAGCCTTGGAAAGATAGTGCAACTGATTTTTCTACTGGAAAGAAGGCAAACAGCAGAGTAGTTAGCCTGTCTTTGTATTATTAACAAAAATGGCAAAGCCTGGGTGGTTTGTTTGGGGTGTGTGTTTTTTTTCTTTTTGTTTTTGTTATTTTTGTGGTTTGGTTTGTTTTGTTTTTAATTCTTCCTTTGGTCAGTAGTAGTCCTAGTGGTGACACATTGTTGAGCTCCACTTCCAGGCTCTTGTCCTTCCTAGCTATTCTCCCGATACCTCATGTTGCCTGCAAGATCTCAAATAGGCACGTGCTATTGCAGAATTGGGAGCTCTTAATAACAACTTTGTCGTCTGGGATAGGCTGTCATCAGCAGTTACTATGGTGATGATTATGGTGGTTTCCTTCTACTAGGTGTTTTGTCGTCACCCCTGCATTTAAGAGGTGCCTATCAGGGAGAAGGAAACCACACCTGGCAGTTGGATCTGTCTGGGGCTGGTCACACAGGTTTGGGTAGCCAGGTCTGGAAAACACGGCCCAGGCTTCTGGTGCCAGAGGGGACTGTGAGGCACATGTGTAAGAACAAATAAATTGTGCATGTCTCAATCTTCTGGCATGAGTAGGACGTGTCACAAGCTTACATTGGGTCAGTAATGCTGCTGACTCTTCAGGAAGCAAATGGAGGAATATGGCAGCCAGATGACTGGAGAAGTCTTGCCCTTGGTTTTGCTAAAAATACCCTTCACACAAGCCAGGATCCTGTTGGACACTGTGCTGTGTGGTGGGCTCTGTCTGTATTGGGCTTTGATCTTTGGTCTGTACAAAGTGAAAATTGCTGCATTTCATCGTTCCTTCTTCCTTCCAACCATTTGACTTGCCACTGCTTAGCCTGGAGCAAAAGGGAGTGAGGTCTCATTGGGCATGACTATGAGGATGGAAAAAGCAAATGGCAAACTGATGAAGAAGAAATAAAATGCTTCATTTTAAGGCAGGAATTGCACAAGAGCACCTCCTGACTTGTCATCGTTTCCATTGCTGTGTCAGAGATGGTGGTTTCCCACTTTCGTTTCTCGCAGAAAATTGGTGAGACATAAGAAAATAACATAAGATGACTTGAATCAGAAGAAATAATTTTTTTCAGTGGCATTTAATAGTTTGGGGGTTTTTGTGGTGGTGGTTTTGTTTGTTTGTTTATTATTTGTGTTTGGCTTTTTTTGTGTGTGGGTTTTTTTTTTTTTTTTTTTTTTTTTTTTTTTTTTTTTTTTTTTTTAAATGGGATTTTCTGATGGTCCTGTGAGCTCCTGTTTGACCTTTAAAAGTATGGAAAAGACCTTTCTCCAGTGACCTCGTGCAACCTTCTGGAAAGGCTTCTGTCATTGTTAATGAAGAGCCAGTGACTGATTTGGATGTTTTCTGGGGGCTTTGTTGTGGCGTGTCACTGGCAGTTCACAGGGCTTGTTCTTGCTTTTAACCTGCACATGCATCGAGGTCATCTCCTTCTGTGGCTGAGAGCTCTTTCCCCAGCCCCAGCAGCCTCCAGGCAACAGTGCTCAGGAACAGAAAGGCAACCAGATCATTTTTGCATCAGACCCAGATCTGATTTTTGTTTCACATGCTCATCGTAGTCAGAAGTGAGTGCCAGGAAAAGAAAGCTACTGTTCTGGGAAGCTGATAGTACTGCGGTTAATGTCTGCCCCAGTTGTACGTATTGCCATTCAGTATGGGTTCTATTTGGATGCAGGAGGGAGATTTCCTAGAGGTGTGGGAACAGAATGGCAAAGTTTTTTCCAAACTTGCTGTAGTCACATGATACCAGCAGTGATTCAGGAAATCTTTAAGGTTTAAGGCTGTTGCATCTCTCTGCAAGCCCAGGCAGCAGTGAGATTTCTCTTTTCTTCCAGCAATTGTGAATGAGCAGAGAGCAATGTTAGCTGGCTCTGTTGCAAACTGCAGCGCATCGCTGTAATCCCAGCCTGAGGTTCTGACTGTGCTTGTCAGGAGCAGTCCAGGCTGTAGGTGGGACAGGGCTGGTGTTGGGACCACAGTGGTGGTGTCACCGCATGGCATTTAAACCATGCTTCCCTGGTAGTTACTCATGCTTCAGGCTGCCAGGGCAGTTCAGATGCCTGCGTGTTCCCCAAATATTTCTCTCCTTCTCCTTAACTTCCACCACAACCTCCAGCCCAAACAGTGTTCAGTTTTAGGAAAGAAAGTTTGCTTTGCTTTCTGGAAATCACCCTATACAAATCCTGGGAGCTGCAGAGAAAGAAATAACTAATAAATGTTCTTGTTACACCTACAGGTTCTACATCTCCTTTGAACATTAGCATTATACCCTTGAATCGTTCGTTGCAGGACATGTGCATGCTTCCGGAAGATGTGGAGAAGGTGAGGACATCAAAGACTATTGTCATATTTCTTTTTTCCCATTTTATAGTGGCAAAGCCAAATGACAGGAGGTGTTTCTCAATAACGGAAATTTCTGATAGATCTTTAGATCTGTCTTTAGAAATCTTTAGAAATACTGTAGTTCTCCTCTTCTTCACCTCTGTGGCTGAACCTACAAACCTAAAATGCCTACTACTTCACTTAATATTGAGTCTTAATACATTAATTACAAATTTTAATTATTTTAAAATAATGGAAATATTTTAGAACACTGTACTTCTACTGTTCATTCCATCATTTTCCAACACATTCCTCGAGACCAAACTTTACGGTCATTATAGTCACTTTAAAGTTACGTTAGAACATGTTACATAGGATTTGTTGCAACTACATGCATATGAATGGGATTTACCTCATACTTTGTTATTATCAGGAGATAGGGAGAGGTGCTGGGGTTTTTTTGTGTGTGTGTTTATGATCCTGTGAGTTTGCTGTTAAAAAAAAAAAATTACAATACCCATAACAAGCACAGTGACTGTAACATCTGCAGTGATTTAAGCAGTTTCTTATGGTTTCTAAGTTGGAGAAGGGGTCCAAATGGTATTAGGTGTGTGGCTGGATAGGCAGCCCAGTTGAGCTTATAAACAGAGATAAAGTTGAGAAGATAATGCTGTCACACATAACTGTGTGTGCTAAATGTTAATCTTTTCGAACAGTTGGAAAAGAGATTCTAGTTATTGCAAGAGTAGGATTTGATACAAAAGAGCTTTAAAAATGTGCCTAGAAAAGGAGATTTTTTTTTTTTTTTTCTGTTGGAATGTGGGTGTCCATTAGGTCCCATATCCTGGGCCCAAGAGGTAATCCTCTTTGTGCACAGCACTGGTTTTGTTGGAACGGTAAGTTCTGCATTTGATTCGAAGCTTTCAGTGTCCCTAAAGTGCATTTTAAAACAAAAAACACCCAGTAAATCACACGCCAAAACCCAACAAAATTGTAAACTAGCTTTAGATATTGCTTTTTGTGAAAAGGTGTTTCAGAAAGGAGTTGATGTTTCCCTGTAACGTGTGAACCAAAAATAATATGCTTTCAGCCCACAGGACACCAATGAGTAGATACATGTATTGGAAACCACAGACAGAGACCTATTGAGTGAGGCAAGATCACATCAGCTGCCTCTCTTGTGCAGATTATTGGTGGCTGACATGATTACATCTTAAGGGATATCAAGAGCTCAGTGCCTTATGAGCAAAGCTGCCTTTAAAAAAAAACAAACCAACCAACCATCCAAAACAAAAAAACAAAACCCAAAACACTTTTGGGTTGTAAAATAATCTCTTTGCAATTCAGGAGGCTGAAAATTTAAGGTACAAGTAGTGTCAGCAAGTCTGAGAATTGTAGTTGTGTGCCAGGAAGGAGATGGGCCAGATAATCAGATAATCTCACTGATGCAAGTGAGAAGGAAGAGAAGTGAGAAAGTTGGTGTGTCACAGCTGAGCTGGAACTGCTTCCTAGGGTGACAGACTTAGCAGCAGGCAGACCTGAAAGCTGATAATCACGCGAAGTACAGGAGCGCCTGTATCCTGTTCCATCTTTTTGCAGTGCAGTGCTCCCAGATATGCTCATAATTGCTTCTATCAGCAGGATGTGCTGATATGCTGGGCTCTGCTGCTACATTGGGGTTAACCAGTGCCACATGGGCTTTTTTTAATCTTTAAGCAGGAGGTGTCGTCTTTACCTGCCAAAAGGAAAAAGGCTTCTTAATTCTTTACTTTGCTAATAGCATGTACTGAAGTTCAATGAAACTTGTCTCTGGAGAAACTGTGCACCAAGCAAGCAGTGTTAATAGGTGTTAGGGGAAAGATAAAAATGTTCTTCAAACACCCACAGGGACTTGTGGGATACTTCTAAATGCATTTGGCTATGGACAAAAATAGAACACTATATATTTCTGCTTTGAGAAAATAAAACGGTGATAAGAAAGCAGTGGTGTCTGTTGTGCTTTTTAAGTTTTAGGTATTTCTGAACACTGATGTCTGTCTTCCTCATGCTTCTGCAAACTTCATGCTTTTGTAGGGTGTTATATATACTGTTGTTGAGTAGTACAATTTTCTGAGGATAAGCCACTTTATAAAAAGCTTTAATTATTCTGCATTCAGAATCTCTAGGCTTAGGTACTGCAGGCTTTTCTAGATGGAGGTTTAGCTTTGCACAATGCAAACATGTGCAGTTGAGGGTGGAGTGGGAGAGTATCCTGGCCCTCTCAGGGTTTCCATCCATGCACTTGAGTGCACCTATCTCTCCGTGATGCATTCACTTTCAAGCTGAGCCTGAGCTGAGAAGCTGTGCCCAGGCCAGCAGCAGTAGGTCAGGTGGGGCTAGTGGGATGCTCTGTTAAGACCACAGGAAGCAAGGGATTGGAGCAGGGACCCCAGGTTTGTCTGGATGTCTCAGTGGTACCAGAGGTGGGTTTACTAATTCCCTTTTCCTGGAGAATGGGTGACTGGGGCAGGCAACATAGAAAGGGACACTATGAGTTGTCCAGCAGGGAAATGCAGCTTTGAAAGCACTACATGTTTAATGCAGTATGAACCCCAGAGGAGCTTGGCTCCCATTTACCCTTATCACAGACTTTCTAGCAGCCTTGAGTTGACAGTGTAAGCTATTTCACTGCATATTTGCTACTTCACTGCCTTCACTCTTAACACATGAAAGCATTTTACTAACTTCTCTACTACCCACTACCCAAAGATCTACAGTCTCTCCAAAACTTGCCACTTCTGACCTCATCTGTGTTAGCTTGCATGCAAAACTGCTCATACACACTGACTCGAAATTAAATCCTATTAACAGGATTCACACTTGCATGGTAAATAATGCAGTGTAACTAGAAGACTGTGTCTCTAAAATGCATGCATATTCATCAATTAGGCATGTAATCAAGTTTCTTTTTATCTAATAGATGGGTAAGATAAAAGTAAATTGTGTTTTCTAATCAAGGGTGAGACAATTATCTGGGCAGTTGCCTTTTGCATGTTGTCTCTGAATTGCCCTTGGAATGTTGGTTTTGTATTTGGGTTTTGTTGGTGTTTAAATGAAAAGTGAGATAGCCTTACCTTTTGATTCCTTGAGTTGAAAAAGTATATTTCACTTCATCTTAAGCAAGTATAAAATATGCTGTGTACTAATGAGTGTTCCAATCCTGCATGCAGGAAAATGCACACTTTTTTGTTGCAGATATGATTATAGCATCATTAGAAAAAATGAAATGTAATATCCTAAGCCAACAAGCAGAGTCCTGGGGTGTGGAGGAAGCAAGTGGATCAGATGGCAGCTATCACACTGATTCGGAGTTATCTTCTTACCCTGGAGTGAAGAAGTCTGATTCCTCTGTTGCCTCTTCAGACAGTGGTTATGAAGGCAAGTTACTTAGTCTGTATTACAACCTTGTCTGACAGCCTTTGCCATTTATTTTTGTGCAAGAAAATAATCAATTTGGGCATTGCTTGGAACCAAATCCTCTGTTACCTTCTTTGAGTCTCTTGAGCTCTGTGCTCTGGGGATCATTATGCCACGAGAGTTTTCCCTGTATGTCAAATTCTTCCGTTCGAATGCTCACATTTTCATGTTACGAAAAATCCTAATTATAATAAATAAAACACAGATGTAAAGTTGAAGTGCCACATGCCAAGCACAACTTTCCATATAGAAATTCCTGTATTTGGCTGGTTTTCTTCCTGTTTAAATCCCTTTTTGCAGGATTTGAAGCTTGGCTCTTGCCTTCTGTGCTTACTTCTGCAGTATGCAGATCAGGCCATGCAGCTAATTTGCGTGAAACTTCCCAGAATATTTATTCACATGTAGTTTGAAGCAAGACAGTAAAAGCTCCTGGCACGGTAATGCTTGAGTCAGTACATGAGTAATACGGATCTTAGCGATGGAACTTAATTCTAAAGTCTAAGTGACGTAACTTCTGGTCAAAAAAGAGTGGTGTGCCTGTATGTGGGAAGGGGAGAGACCATTGATAATATGAAAGCTTTTGGTTTAGTCTCAAGAAACTTCTTAGCTTAAACTGAGGGTTATGCTGTATGACAGAATCGACTTTCTGTGTGTGTATAAAAATAAAATTGCTCTGTAAATACAGGCTGTGTGCTAAAGTTTTGGTAAGTACAGTAAAATACAAATATACCTTGAGGCAGCTACTCTATAAATGCTGAAAAAGTTTAATTGTTGTTGTCTTTGTTCTGGACAGGCTGTGCTCTGCTCCCTGTCAGCTCCCCAATGCATCTACCATCACATCATGAGGCTACCAGATTTCATTGCAATAGTGACTCAGAGGATGAATATGTAATTATTGGTAAGACTTTAAAATTATAAACTCTATTGTTCAACTCAGTCTTTGTTTTGAAAAGTCTATTGACTTCATAAGATGTTATTGCAGGAGAAATAATGTGAGCAAATGGACAGAACAATGTATACATGACTCCTTACTAGAACACATGCAGAAATACCAGACTAGTGCAGGATTTCCGTTCTATCTTTGCTGGTTTGAGGGTGTTGTGGGTTGACCCTGGCTGGATGCCAGGTGCCCACCAGAGCTGCTCTGTTGCTGCTGCCCTCAGCTCCTGGGGAGAGAAAATACGACGCAGGACTTGTGGGTTTTGATAAGGACAGGGAGAGATCACTCACCACTTACTGTCATGGGCAAAACAGACTCTGCTCGGGGCATAGGCGAAGTTTCTGGCATCTTCTCACAGAAGCCACCATTGTAGCCCCCCACTACCAAACCTTGTCATGCAAACTCAATGTAGGGACTGAAATTATGTTTGAGGATTAAACACAATGGATGTGGGTGAGCAAAGTGTGAAACGTGCACAACCTCAGCCAACTATAGCAGCATTGTTTGGGAGAATTTAAGACATGATTATTTCCTAATTAAAGAGGTTGGTTAGGTTTAGGCAGCCCTCCCTCTGCTTTGGGACTAGCACAGAATGTCTCTGTCCCCTTACAGTCACCAGTGCTCTGGTTCTCTGCAGGACATCCTGAGTTTCTTTGGTTAGCTTCTGGTTTTTACATATTACAGAAATAGAAACTGTTAAAAGTAGCCTGAGCAACATTTAACCTCCATCTTATTTTTTACTGTTAACAAATGCTTTTTTATTGTTTCCTTTGGTCTTAGAGGTTGAGGGGATTTTTGTTGTTGTGGTTTTTTTTGGGGGGTGGTGGTTTTTTTTTTTTTGTTTGTTTGTTTTGTTTTGTTTTTTGTTGTTTTCTATTTGGTGTTTTTGTTTTGGTTCTCCCCCCCCCCCCCCCTTTCTTCCCCAGTCTAAGAATGAATAACTAGGTCCCAAAACTGCATTTCCAGCAGGATTATTTTGACATGTACGAATGCGGAAGCATTTGTCATGAGAACAATATGCATGGCCAGAAATAATGCTACCAATGTGAATGCTTTGTCTGCATAAGCATATTTTGTCTGTATAAACATAATTAAGAAGTGTGTGCATTAATTCCGTTCATCTCACCTGTTATTAACTTGTTTCTAGCATTAGCTGGCAAATTTGTGATCAGTGTCTCCAAATACCTGTCAGTGCCCGAAAAAACCAATGTGTGCACTGTTGGTTCTGTATATGATTACTTATATTGAGTGCCTTCTGGCTGGACCTGGACTAGCAGGCGCTTAGTCTCTCCTACCATTTCTCCTGCTCTTGAAGGGAGGCTAAGGTGATGATATGATGCATAGCTGTCGGGGAGTACTCTTCATCAGCAGATGTCACAGACCTGCAGAGGAGATAGACTTCTTATGCCTGTTTACAACCAGGGCTGAGGTTATTTTCCTGTATCCAGCAAGGGTATTGTAAAGCTGAATATATTTGAAACTGACACCATGGTAACACAGAAGGTAGATTTAAAACAATGCTGAGTAACAGAAGCTTTGTTTCTTAGATGGCTTGATAAAATCTTCTCCTTTACTGCAGAACTTGAAGACCTTGAAAATCTGTCTGTCACCCCAGATGAAAGGTAATGCTGTGTATCTTTACTATAATAGCCTAGTGGCACTACCTTTTCTGCTGGACCAGCTTCCTGATGACTCTTCTGGCTGGGGTGGTGAAAGGTGTGGGAGGTGGTGAATTTGGCCCTCTCAAGGAAGGGGAAGGAATGCTGCTTGACAGCAAAAGTCTGTGATGCTTGGCTTAGAAGTGTTTCTCTGGTCCTTGGGTCTCGCTGGAGGCTGGTGGCTGCGGCTCTGCAATCACCTGGGTGTATCAAAGCAAGGGGATGGGAACAAAGGGATAGGAGAAAACTTCAGGGATGCAGAAGAGGCAGCGGAGCTGCTGATGACATGCGACTATTTTTTCACTGTCTGTATTGCTTCACTTTCAGATCATCTTTTGAACCAGTCAGCAATTCTGCTGAAGCAACAGCCCAGGAGTTGTGCAGAGCTTTCAGAAAACACTGGTTGCAGACAGACTCTGCAGTTCAACTATCTGGGTGCCTGAGCTCATCGAAGCAGAGAGTGAGTCTGAGCCGAAAGCAGCAGGCTCTTTTTATTTGGTTCTCCAAGTAATCATTGTCTCACTGCAGCTGCTTCACTGTTAGAGAAAAGGGGAAGCTGTATTTAAAGAAAAATAATAAAATAGACAAGTACTTACAGCTTATTAATTTACTTTAGCTAAATTTTTAGAACATTTCTTTACTGTGAGGGTGGTGAGGCACTGGAACAGGTTGCCCAAAGAAGTGGTAAATGTTCCATCCCTGGTGATGTTCAAGGCCAGGCTGGACAGAGCCTTGAGTGACATTGTCTAGTGTGAGACATCCCTGCCCATGGCAGGGGGCTTGGAACTAGGTGAACTTAAGGTCCTTTCCAACCCTAACCATTCCATGATTCTGTGATATGAGGGAGCTTAACTGAGGGGGGACTACATCTAGGTGAAACCTGAACTTTAAAATCTTGGAGTATTAAGTATTTAACACATCCAACTGATGGGCTGCTGACCCTCACCAGTCCGTCTCTTCCAACAGTCTGTGCTGAAAGAAGAGATTCCAAGAGAGCTTGAGTCCAGTTTGAGTCTGGTTGAAGAAATAAAGATTGTATCCAAATTAAGAGGATCTTCTGGCTGGGCCCCACCAAGATCACAGATTATATTTAATATTCACCCTTCAGTTAAGTAAGTCTAAGGGATCTGAGCATTATCGTTTAGTACAGCATGGGGATTTGTCTGAAATCTGTTTAAGTTGATGGAGGGAGCCTGGGTGATTGAGCAGAACCTAAGATTATAGCTAGTGCATGGCACAGCCTTCTGCAGTGTCTGTCACCAGCTTTGCTAGAAAGCAGATGGCATCTTTTTTCCCCTCTCTTGGCACGTCCTGATTAATGTGGAACGTGCACTTTCACATGCGATAGTACATAAACTGGTGTTACAGTGGCAGCGTGCTAAGTTAGACTCTAAAAAAAAATCATTGTGTGAGACTATCTGGAGGATATTCTTAAGAGTTTCCCCACTTCCCTGCTGCTATTTTATGGGTAGTATGTTTTCAGAAAGTGAGGAGAAAACAGCTCATGTTTGGGGAAACTTCTGTCTTGCTGCATAAAGTGCTGTTGAATTTACACAGTAGGCAAGCTGGCCTGTTGCTGCAGGTCAGGTTGCATTTTCACTTGCAGATGTGGATTTCCTCCTCCCACCTCCTCCTTGATTTGGATGCCAATTTAAGAAATGGAAAAGAATTTAATTCTTGCAAGAAACCATATTTAGAAGCAGTAATTGATGATAATTTAGACACTTTCACTGACGCCAGTGTAGTTCTCTTGCACTTTGGGAGAATGTTAACTAAACTGTGTTTTGCATGCTGAAAGGTGTAACTATTTGCCTCTGTATTCAGGAGAGATGCAGTGGTGGCTGCCCAAAACTTCACATGTGTTGGCTGTGGAACCCCAATAGAAAGCAGTAAGTATTATCAGAAGAAAGAAAAACAACCCTAATAAATCCACTGCTATTAATCAGTCTGTAATCTTCACCAACAGATGTATCACAATTGTATAATTATCTGAGCTAGAGGAAAATCTCGTTGTTGGATTTGCCTGCAATAATAAAATAGGCAGTGGGATCTTACCACTGCCTGGAATTTCTCCTTGTGGACAGAATACAGTACTTGATATATGTCCTTCTCATACACAGTGAAAATTCATGACAGTTGACAACAAAACAGGAAAAGCTATTAAAAAATAATTCAGAAATCAAGCTTCCAGGCTGGAAAGTGCTGGTGTTACATCTTCTAATGTTTTCTTTCAATAATTCTTCTCTGTGTCAATTTACACATTTCCAAAAGTCTCTTCTAAGAGACTTTAAGGAAGTTTTATGCTAGCTTATGTAACGTGCGTGCTCACGCACACAAAAAAAAGTGGGAGGTTTTGTCCCCCTTATATCTTGGTCACAAAGATTGTGTTTTATTTGCGATACATTGTGAGAACTGCTTGAAAGTGTGATGACTTAAGGTCTGACAACCAGACCTTGCCTAAGAAATCTTTGAAGTGGCTTTCAAGACTTCTTGTGGGGCTCCTCAAAAAAGAGTGGCATTTGTGATGGCCTGTAAAGTATCAGCAGCCTGGGAAAAATCCGCAAATGTCTTTGTAAAAAAAAGTATTACACAAATATGACTCCAGGATCAGCTTGTCTTTCCATTTGGTGGAAGTATTGTGTTGTGTTTTTTATCTTGTATCTCCTTTTTGCGGGTAAAGCAACAATGGTTTCTCTTAAGATCTCATGTTGATAATCGCTTCAGTTTGACAGATGTGTAAATGAGGAAAGCTTTCTCTTCTAATGCACAGTACAGACCTTGTGCTTGTGTTTACCACAATAATAAACACCCCTACTTATGAAAATAATGCCTTGCCCCTCACTCCAATAGACCTGAGTTGTTTAGGCAGAATAGGCATTCAGATAAGAGGTATGTCCTGTAAGTATTAGAAATATTCACAGTTTCATTGCTCTTTACTTGCAGAATATATCAGGAGACTCCGCTATTGTGACTACCTGGGGAAATACTTCTGTGACTGCTGCCACAGCTATGCCCAGTCTTGCATTCCCGCCCGAATACTTCTGAAGTGGGACTTCAAAAAATACTATGTATGCAACTTCTCCAAACACCTATTGGACAGCATATGGCAGCACCCCATTTTCAATGTGTCCTGTATTAACAAAGCCCTCTACACAAAAAGTAAAGAAATGGACAGGGTGAGGGTACGTATGGCCTGTTTTTATTAGGAATTTGGGTCTGTGGGAAGAACTCCTTAGGGCAGGTTGTCCTTTGCCATGTGTGTATGTGGGAAAGATGCAAAGTTGATTTCTCTGCACTTAGACTTGTCCTGTCTTCCCTCAGATGAAGAGAGAGGAGGGAGAAGTTTCTAACCTATGCCAGAGGATGGGAGGTGTTTCCTCATTGTTTTTCCATTTTAGTTTATGGAGGGGAACGGGGCTTCTGCAGTAAATATTTACCTTTGCTTGGCAATTGGCTGTTGGAAAGCTCCAGAAGTTTTGAATGAATCCTTAATTTTGTGGGCCATTAGAGAAGACACCCTTGGCTCATCTAAGCACTGTACCTGCTATAGCTTGAGGAAGTGTTTCTGCTGAAGATTACAAGTTGTCGTGTGCTCTCCTTTTGGCTGAGGAGACCCTTACCTGTTCTTAAACAGGTTTGGGTCTTGAACCTTGTGTGCTGACGTGGAGCCATTGGTAGTGTTAGGAATTGCTTCCCTTGACAATTAATAAAAGTAGCCTTTGCCTTCCTTAGCCTTTCATGCATTAGAAAAATCCATTTGTTTAATTCTGTTCTGAGTGTGAAGTTCCTATTTTTAGGTGTGGTTTGATGTACTGGCAAGGGTTGCTGACTCAAATAGTGGTGTTCCTTACATATGAATACAAAAATGCAATTGCTTTTCATTTAAAAATTGTTTCGTTTTCTCCCTTTATCTTTTAGGAGGTGCAAGAACAGCTTTTTCATTTAAAAAAGCTTTTGAAAACCTGCAGGTTTGGAGAAAGGTATGGGCCATGATTGTGCATGAAAACCAGTTTATTAGAATGCACGTGCAGTGCTTATAGAGCCTTCTTCTCTAGAGACATTTGAGTGCAGATTTAAATGAGTTAATATCATTAGAGAAAATTCTGGTAACAAAACTTCCTTCTATTACTCTGCAAATGTTGAGTGAAGAACAGGTTGTAGGTAGTGGCTTTGTTTCTTGTACCATATTTAGACATTTGGGTTTAAATGTTGAATGATTTTTAAGTGTATATTCTTTCCTGCTCTGTCTCTCTTAGGTTCTCATTCATTCTTAAAAGGTCAAAGATACTCCTGTATATCTCCAAGATTATTTGTCTTAGAAAATAAGAAAATTAACCAATTTGTTCCCTCGGGGTTTAAAGATTTCTTCCAGAAGTCAGTCATAATGCTCAGTTCAGTTTATTTTATAAACACATTCAGATGAAAGTAGTAACCAATAGTGGAAAATACCAAAACATGACCATGCTTGTTGGTGCAAATTAAAGATTTGTAGTATTCACCTCCCCAAACTATAACTAATAGTTATAACTAATATAACTAATAGTTTGGGCATAACTAATAGGTAAACATGTGATCTGAAATTGGAAGGGGAGGTAGGATTTAGCATGAACTTGCCTTGTATGATCCCATGGTGTCTAGAGAAGCAGAAGAGGCATATTCTTCAAATATGCTTGAAAAAACAACTTCTTGTGACTTAATTTTTCTGTCTCTTTGCAGTATACTGAAAGAATTTGAGCAGGTTCCCAGCCATATGACAGAGGAGCTGCATCTCTTCTCACTGGATGATCTGGTGAAGATCAAACGAGGGCAGTTACTGCCCCTTCTGAAAGATATTCTGAAGAGCTCCACCTCCCATGTGGATGGCTGTGAGGTAAGAAGCCAAGGCTTTTGGTGTCCTTGCAGCTGCTAGCGTGAGGAATATCCGTGCTGACATTCCCAAATAATTTTTTCTTAGATAAAAAGTAACTCAACTCTTCTGCTGTCCTTGTAGCTCTGTCAAGCAAAGGGGTTTATCTGTGAATTCTGTCAGAGCGCGGATCTGCTATTTCCACATCAGATTGTCAAATGCAAAAGATGCACAGGTATGTTCCAGACCAAACATTTTTCTTTCTTCCTTGGGGGAGGATGGTGGGAGGGATGTGTAAAACTTTTCAGACTCATTTAAGGAAAACACTGAGAACTTACTTCACTGAAAGCATGTGTATTTGAAAGCCATGGGTAGCATGTATCTTTGAAAACCAAACTGTGGCAGCTGTCTTGCATCAGTGCATTCTGAGAGCAAAGCCAGGGACTTGCCTGAACATAACTATGGCTGCAGGGGGGGAGGCTGATTTTTTGGGTGCATGAGGGAAGAGCATGGGACAGTGCTAAACTGCTGCTGTATTAGATCTTGTTCATTGTAAATCCTATAAATCTTGCCAAAATGTTTAATCGTAGTTATTACAGTGGTGGTTGTTGTCCCTTGTTTTACATTTTATACTTGGGTGAACTAGATAGAACATCCTTCAAGGAACACAGGCATTGATTCTTCTTTTATTTTATTTGTTTTTCCTGAATGTTGAACTGCTTGTTATGTATGAACAGAATGCAAAACATGCTTTCACAAAGCATGCTTCAAGGCTGGAGGCTGCCCCAGGTGTCTGCGGATTGCAGCTCGGAGGACGCTTTCAGAAACTCCGTCACTGGTGCCTCCATGAAGCTGGGTTCCTCTGATGACTGCTGATTTCAGAAGATGCTCAAAGCAAAATCTTTAGGTGCCTGGCTAAGAATTAAATAATGTTGTTTTAGACATTACTATTTTTAATAGTTGTCTCCTTTTTGGAGTGTAAGAAAAAAAAAAAGACAAAGAGACTTTAATATCATCATTGAAAACTCACCCTAAAGGAGTTTCATCTTAACTGGTGACTGAAAGACTGGATGTTAATTCTGTGAGCAGCCTTTTGTTGGTATGTTTTGTCCTTGTATGTAAGATTTTTGATACTATATTTTTGCATTCAAAATTATTCTTCCCTGTAATTCTGCAAATAATGTATAGATAGTAAATGAGTGTTGGAAAGCCTTACCTGTGTCGCATTTTGGGAATAGGAAAAAGTGGTAAAATACGAAATTATTCTCTCAAAAGCTCTTAAGCTTGTCTGCAAGCCTCAGGTAGATCCTGGTCTGAAATTCTGTTCTGGCAAATGCTTAATGTGAACTAGTGGATTTTAAGTTTCTTCTAAACATATGTATGAAACAACTTCTTGTGGGTTGACCGTGGCCTGCTGCTAGGTGCCCACCCAGTGGCTCTCTCACTCCCCCTCCTCAGGAGGACAGGGGGAGAAAATAAAGCTCCTGTATGGGCTCTCCAGGAGATGCAGTTCCTTCAGGAAATATCCACATACTCCAGTGGGGTCCTTTCCATGGGCTGCAGGGGGATCTCTGCTCTGGTACCTGGAGTACTTCTTCCCCCTCTGCCTTCAGTGACTGCTGTTTCTCACCCCCCTTTTCTCCCCTATGGTGTTTCCCTATTCTTAAATATATTTTCTCAGAGTTACCACCATCTTGGCTGATGTGCTCAGCTGTGTCCTGTGGTGGGTCCATTAGAGCTTGCTGGACCAGTTGTGTCTGGCATACGGCAGTCCTGGCCTCTTCCAGTGGAGGCCACCCTGCAGCCCCCCACTGCCCACTCCTTGCCACCTACACCCAGTACACTGCTCTAGAAGTTTCTTTCCAGAGCACTTAAAACTGTGAGGAGAGTCAGTGAGTGCGCAGCCGAGATGCTTTTTAAATCCACCCTCACACTTGCAGACTGAGTCCTTGCCTAAAGGCGAAGTGCTGGAAGTTGAAAGCAGCTTTCTTTTCCTGCCTTGTTGGTTATTTCTGATGAAACTGGCTGAGGAAGCAGCCCCTCCTTTCAGCAGCCCAGAGCAGCTGCTTGGACCTGTAAATAATTTTTCTGTTTGTGCCACATATGGGTGGAGAAGAGATTCAGAGCAGCCCTGCGGAGAAGGACTTGGGGGTGTTGGTCAATGAGAAACTGAACATGGGCTGGCTTCAGTGTGTGCTTGCAGCCCAGAAACCTGCAGTGTGATGTGTCCCTGCCCATGGCAGGGGGGTTGGAACTAGATGATCTTAAGGTCCTTTCTTACCCTAACTATTCTATGATTCTATGAAGTACCAGTCATAGAGCAAATATGGGGAAATCATTGTACATCTCCTTTTTAAAAAATTAAAAGCATGAAAATAGGCACATCAATAGGTAAATGACTTCTGCTGAAGAAGTTTGTGTGCAAAACCAATGAAGTACCAGTGAAGAGTGGAACCCCAGAACTTGAAAGCACGTACCAAAGTTCTGATCTCCCCAGTGGAGCACTCTTAATATTTTGTATTTGTTGTTCTCAGTTCATGCTTTGATCTTCCTCTCATTACCTTCTAGCTCCTGCTTTTAGCAAGGAAAAGATTGACTGTCTGTTACCAGGGTCTGTGTAAATTCAGCTCCATCCTAATGCTTACAGTACTCGTAAGCTCACTAATACTTACACTTAGCTATTTTTTTCTCTGGCTGAAACAGCTTACCTACTTACTCTTTGGAAGTGAGATTATCTCTTACTCAAGATCACCAAATGGATACTGACGCTGGGTATGTTATTGGTGAGAAAGAGACTGCTTATACAGCTGACTGTATTTAATGTTATGCAAGAGTAAATTCTCATTTAAGTTGGGTGCACGAGTAACTGAATCACATGAAAGGCCTTGCTGTAGGGATTTTCTGCTTACGAAAGAACTCACTTGAATAATCCCTCTGTGGGATAACCTGTAGGGCAACTGAATAAATCTTTTTCATTATTCATGAATTTAGAAAAGGTGATCTGGTTTCTGGCTGTGCTTTTCACAAATGTTCAAGTCTCTCTGTACAGTGGTACACAGGAGGGGGCAGCGTCAGAGAGTGGATTTCATGCATCAGGTGTTGATGCTTTACATCCACTTGGTTCAACCCAGGCCTCCATAGAGCCTGTACAACCTATCCTGACTGCTACTGCTACATACCACAATGTATATCACAGCAAGAGAAGATCCTCAGTGAGTTTGAGTAGCTGGTGAGAAGCAGAAGGCTCAAGAGCATCAACATGCCTATAATCGAAGTAAAACTAGCAAAAATGTTCTGCTGCTGAAGGTAAAGAAGACCCAAGTTGTGAGGTGCCACAGGTTGGTCACAAGTTGGAAGGAAGCTGCTGTTTGTTGCTTTTGGGGATTGGTGCTCTTGATGTTAGGTCTGAAGGAGGGTCATACTAAAACCACATTCTTGTGAGCTGAGTCAGCACAAGATAGCACAGGAACATGCTGAGGTGAACATGATGAACACCCTGAAGCTCTTTGGTGAGAAGCAAGGCATGAGTGACTAGACCTGTAGCCACAAGGTGTTCTCAGTGTTGCTGAGATGAGTTTCTTCTTGTCAGCTGCTATCCTGGGATAGCATAAAACAACCACAGTAAAACTGAAAGTGTGTGCTGTGTCTTTCTGTAGTTGGTGAAGTGGCTTGGACAGGAAGGGGTGACTTCCGTGCTACAAACCTCTAGGTGTTAGGGTGTAACCATATTCTTTGAATGAAGTTTTGATTAAGCTCCTTAAATCAATACTGTGCTCTCCTTGAGTGTAACTCTGTGGGAAAGTATTGAGTTTGATCATTTCCAAGGTTAAACTGGATGACAAGGCAGATCCAAGGTAAGAACTTTTTAATAAAGAAAAGCTATATAGCTACAATAAACTTCTTCACAGGAAGTAAAATCCAACATGTGGAAGCTTTGAATTTTTTGAGAGGAGAAGCTATATAGAAGGGTTACACTGTCTTACCAAGGAGCTGGGCCAGTTCAAAATAAGCTGACTGCTAGCTAGAAAGCACTGTCCTTACACAGAGGACAGTGATGAGAGACCTGACACTTTAGCTAGAGAAAGAAAGGGAATATTTGCACCCCTCAGTTTGCCTGAGCAATGAGAACAAATGCTTATTCTTACCATCAGATTTACATGATGCCATGTGGATGCAATGGGAGCACCTGGTGGCTCTCCTGGAGGAGCACTCAGGGATGTAAGAGGCCAAGAAACCTATCCCTAGTTAACTGCCTGCCTCACTCAGCAGGCAGAATTCAGGTCAAGGCAGTTTTATTAGAAATTTCCATAGGAGAAAGTTTTCAAAGGAACACATGGTTTTATTAGAATTTTCCATAGGAGGTTTTCAAAGGAGCACAATAACATACTTCACTCTTGCTGCTAACGATTTCACCTGCTTTTCCACTAGTTATTTCTTTATACTGATTTTGTTTCTGTTTTCTCTTTTAGTATCAATTATGAGTTGTCCGTGTATGGTGCATTGCAGCCAGTATCTTTCATGATACATCATACAACTGTTACTGTAAATAATAGAATAATAAAAATTGCCAGGTGAAGTATCGACTCACAAATACAGGACTTGTTGCAACTGTAAGCAAGTATGTCAAGTAATTAGGTAGTTTTATGGGCCCATATAATTCCAGGGATGTTCGTCCCACCCATTCACTTGAAGAGAAGAAAATATCTATGTGTGTTATGAGAACTGATGTTTTGTCTGGTTTTGCACACAGAGTACACAAACTTCTTCAGCAGAAGTCTTTCACTTTGTGAAAGATGTGCCTATTTCCATGTTTTCAATTTTTAGAAAGGAAATTTACCACTGTTCCCCATATTGCTCTATGAGTGCTGCTTGACACAGCTTTCTTTTTGTCCAGCAATCTAAATACTCTGAAAAACACCTGAAGTCTTCTCTCTAGGATATCAGTTGTATTTAACACTGATCCACATAACATATCCTTTGGTCTTGAGTATTTGCCTTCCGTCATGATTCAGAGCAAAGCAACAACACCCTTTCACTTTGTACATGTGAATGCCAGGTTAGATCACACTTTGTCTGACCACAGACTGAAAAGGCTTTTGAAGGTTGCAAAACCAGGAGGTCATTAAGGGAAATCTAATCAGTAAAGGAGGGAAAGGAGAGCTTAGGGAATAGATTTACAAGAAAGGCTTGGATAGCGTCCACTTTAGTGGATTGTGGAGAGTAAGACTGGCAGCAGTAAAAGAAGTTCTGCATCAAATAAATAATCCATTCTGTCTACAAAGGATGACAATATATTTGACTAGATTAAAAATAAAAATCCATGTTTAATCTGTTGTCATTGAGGTTAAACGTGCCCAGGACTAGTCTCTGGTGCCGAAAGCAAATGGTGGAGATGGGCTGAGCTCAGATACTCTGTGCTTTTGTTCACTGAATCTAATGTGCCTGTTGTGAATGACCCATGTTCATGCTAACTCCTGATCTTTGCTGTCATGGGCCAGAATTGTGCCATGTTTAGTCTTTACAATTTGCCAGCGTAGATGTCCATTGATTTAATTAGAAAAAGTCTCTATAGCTATCATTGGGTAGTGTAACTACTTGTGTGCTCAGGAAAGCTTACAGCTTGGTAGCTGCCAGTTGCTCACCTTCCACAAAATGGTGTAATTTCCCTAAATTTACTTTTCCCCACCATATTTCTGCAGGTTTGTTATTTTGGGGGTTTTGACAGAGTATGTCTGAAGACAGAAGAAAAAGCAAGTATTTTATACTTCTCGCTATGCAGATTTCCCCTCAGTGTATCATTTAAGGTTCGTGTATTTGCAACCAAACCAAACCCAGCTCCAGTCTAATAAGAACTGCTCCAAGCATGGGGCTGGAGCAGGGAGATCTGGGCGCCAAATGCGTTCCCTGACTACTGGATATACAGCACCTTCTGACTGAAGAGTCAGCTAGTTCATACGGAATAACCATAAACAGTTGAGGAACTGTCCCTCTTGTTCTGGTGAGCAAGAGCCAGGTTCTCGATGACCTTCACAGAACTAAGGGTGAGTATCTGTGGAAATAGAATGGAGTACCTGCATAGTTGCAGGTACACATGGCATGAGCAGGTTGCCACATAGACAAGGAAATCTGACAC